GTGACAACTGAATTTCCGGACCTTACCTGCAGATAGAAGAGTAAGGGTGATGTAGGCCTTCATGGTTGCGTGCTGCAAAGGGTAGTTGTTGCTCCAATTCCTGCCCAAGTGCGATTTCGGGTTCGCCGCATTCGCTATTATATACTAAACCAAGCACAGTTGTTAAATTCGAGAACAGTAGCTAGCTGACACAGCTGTTTTCTTTGTACGTCTTATCAGTTTTCTTGCAATTGTTCAACATCAATTCGTTTCGTTTTAGCGAAATTTTGAGGAAGGGACACAGTATTGATTTTTTGAGCGGAAAAGCTTAAACGAATCTTGTCAATTCAGAGATACTCGCTATTCGAATAAAATACAAAGAGTTTTCCGTCTTTTCACAACGCTGTTCACCACCGTCCCAACATCGACTTAACATTGTGCACACGCAAATACAATGCACGTTGAACTCACGTTTTCAATGCCCCACAATGCGCAATGCTGTCGCTATGGACTACACATACCACGTCAACGATGCCGAAGCAAGCTCGCATTGTTCTATAACAATGAACGCCGGGACGCGTCTTTCCTCGTCGAATTCGATGCAGCGCATCTTACAACATCTATTTTATGCGTGTCACTGCGTAGAGTAGCAAATAGCATCATACAGCTAAAAAAATTGTCACTTACTCTTTTAGTATTTACTACTATCTATACTACTTATATGTACGTGCAGTCGTGAGCGAAAGCGTACGGTTCACGGTGAATTGGACCTTGGAAGCCAATTTGAGACCCTTGAATAGGCCTATAGCATGCCGGAATAGCTAGTGAGGCCCTCGATGATGAGTTCCTACCTATTTAACCACCACAGGTCGGCACGAAATGTGCAGCTCACTCATACTCACTCTTCAGATATATTCTAGCTCAAATTATACTCAAAATAACGTATTATCACGCTACACAGATAGCCATGTGACACGTTTCCACCCGCACCATTTAACAGCTAGCTGCATAACTGAAATCCCGTAACATCACGTAACATGTAGTAATATGACTAAAACCACGTTAGATCACCTAACACCTCACGCGAGTAAAATCACGTAGCATCACGTGACGACTAGCAACATGACTGAAATCACGTAATGACTGTCTCGTGACATGTTCCCACCAAATCCACGTGAACCATGCGTGCATTGTGGAGAAGCGGCCGAAACCAGAGAAGGATCACTAAGCGCGCTATATTAAGGCATCTATATATTGTTACGTAAAAATGACACGAGGCGTGTCTATTTAGAACCTATATTGAAACTGATGCGTATAGCGTCGACTAAGATGGAGTACAGCACCCACAACCGACAGACCACTTCCTCGTTGTCGTCTTCTGACACCTGATATGTCAGCTACGTAGCATTAACCCCCCCGTGGTAACAGCGCCGTCTCGGTGCACATTATCTACGATCTTCAGTAAGTAGGTGGTAAGGTTTTAGCCTGCTGACGTGCACAACATTACTGGGTGTGGTTGCAGGCAGGCTTGTGTTCTCAGACGCAGGAATTATCTCATAGGTGGCGTCGGTTACCTGGCGGATGATACGGTAAGGACCCATGTAGCGAGACAACAGCTTCTTTGATAAGCAAACTCGACGAACTGGGCACCACAGGAGAACGAGAGAACCAGGTGAGAAGCGAACGTCAACATGTCGGCTGTCGTAGATGGCTTTCTGTGTGGCATGCGAAGCCGAAAGTCTAGTGCGGGTGATCTGACGTGCGTGGTCGGCACAAGCAATAGCGTCGCGTGCATATTCGGTTGACGGTGTTGTAGTGGTTGGAAGTTGGGTGTCGAGTGGTGACGTCGGATCACAGCCAGAAAGCAAATGAAAGGGTGAATAACCAGTGGTGTCGTGGCGCGAAGAATGGTACGCCAAGGTCACGTAAGGTAGCGCCAGGTCCATGCCATGGTGGTCGGAGGACACATACATCGCGAGCATGTCCGTGAGGGTGCGATTTTGCCGTTCAGTAAGGTCATTTGTTTGGGGATGGTAGGAAGTGGTCAACTTGTGCTGCCTCGAAGAAGAGCGCAGAAGATTGTCGATTACATGGAACAAAAGTGCGCGGCCGCAATCCGTGAGTAATTTTCGAGGAGCGCCATGGTGTAGGATGACATCGTGGAGCAAGAAGTCTGCAACGTCAGTAGCGGTGCTGGTGGGGAGTGCTCGAGTGATGACACACCAAGTCGCGTAGTCTATAGCAGCGGCGACCCACTTGTTGCCCGATTTCGACCCGGGAAAAGAATCGAGAAGCTCTATATCAACATGGAAGAAAGGTTCGGTCGGAATGGAGATCAGTTGAAGAAGTCCAGCCGGGGGCACAGTAGGTCGCTTTCTACGTTAGCATTTATCGCAGGAGGACATGTAACGGCGAACGGACCACGCGAGACCGTGCAAAAAAAAAAGCGGTGACGCAAGCGGTCGTACGTCCGAGATACACCCAGATGACCAGCAGTTGGTTCATCGTGAAACTCGTGCAGCACGGTTGAACGCAAATGTTTCGGCGCGACAACAAGAAGCTCATGGCCATCTGGCTGGAGGCTACGACGGTACAGCGTGCCATTCAGGAGGACAACATGCACAACCGACAGACCACTTCCTCGTTGTCGTCTTCTGACTTGATATTGTCAGTGATAGATGACAATATCACTAGTAAAAACTTGACTAGGAAAAAGCTAGATCGAATGCTAACTTTGTTCTTCTATCGTTGTACGCGTACAGGCATAAATACAAATAACTTGATTGAAACTTCCCGTTTGTGGGGTCCCACCTAGGCCACGGCCAGGAATGCAACTTTCGCTTTCTTTAAGGCAAGAAAGTACTTTAGATGCCTCACCAAACAAAAGTTACCATCAGTTTCCTAGGCGAGTGATGAAAAAAAAGTGATCACGAAGTGCATACTTCACCATATGACGTCAGTATATCATGGCACCACATTTTGTGGACGCTGCAGAGCTACGTGAGCCGGAAAAAAACCTACAATACCTGCGATCCCGGAAGCAGCGGACAACCACGTTAGGTGCAGAGACTCCTATCTATTGGTCTGCAGAGCATTGCTATGAGCTCTTTGATTGATTGATATGTGGGGTTTAACGTCCCAAAACCACCATATGATTATGAAAGACGCCGTTGTGGAGGGCTCTGGAAAATTTTACCACCTGGGGTTCTGCAACGTGCACCCAAATCTGAGCACACGGGCCTATAATATTTGCGCCTCTATCGGAAATGCAGCAGCCGCAGCCGCGATTCAATCCCACGACCTGCGGGTCAGCAGCCGAGTACCTTAGCCACTAGACCACCACGACGGGGCGATATGAGCTCTATATCTACGTACTAAATAAACTCCATGCTTACATATCTCAGCACAACAGCGTTCATGCGCCATATGAATAGTTATTTATAAGAGCGTGTGATTTAGGCGAAGGGGTGCTTCGACCTCCCCTGACAACTATTTCACTGGAAGTTCTTGCTAAATATATCTTGAATGAGTCACTAAATATATCTTGCTCGAGTCACGTATTTCAAAAAAGATTTTTAATAGATTTTAAAAGTTTTTACAGCTCTGAATACTTATTTGTTGTAATTACCTCTGATTGAAGGCTGAATTAACACATAAAATACACACGAAAAAAGGCAATGAAAACACTCGAGAACTTGCGAAGAACCCTTGGGACGACTACTAAAGAAATTAAAATTTTGGCATCGAAACCTTACGGGCGACCCATTCTGGAATACGCGTCTGCTGTATTGGACCCTCACACTTTATCAAATATTAAAAAAAATTGATATGTGTTTAAAAAAAATCCGCGAGTTTTATTTACAACGCTTACTGTAAAAGCACGTCCCCTGCAGCCCTCCTGGAAACTTGGAAAGCTTAGAACGCAGGCACGCCAGTGAAAGACAAATTATTTTGTCAGACCTATCACAGTAACTTCAAAATCAATAGACGCAAGTATGTTGAACCATCAAAACCACAATTAACACGGTCGCACCATAGCAATAATGTTCAAAAATTTTCATACAAGGCCAGTTGTTTCCAAAAATGAATCTTTCCTCGAACAGTACGTAGTGAAAACGCGCTGCCCGATCAATCTGCTTCATCTGCAGCTATTTCTTCATTTATGATCACGATATCGAATCTACTAGCATTCGTTTGATTGATTTGTAGTCGTTATTATTATTATTATTATTATTATTATTATTATTATTATTATTATTATTATTATTATTAATATTATTATTATTATTATTATTATTATTATTATTATTATTATTGGCACTGCACCTAATTTCTTTTGTGTGTTTGAGTTGCCTAGCATGCTACCCATGCACTGCCTAGCGCGCTACTTATAGTTCCCTCTAGTGGGTGATGGTGCAACTTTTTCAAACGGAGTACTTGGTTGAAATCTAGTAGCACAGCCTAAGTGAGCTTGTTCAACCATTGCACCATAAAAGATTTCACGTTTTGACGCTATTCTTAGACTGGTAGTTATACTCTTCCATCAACTAATTTATAAACGCCTCGTTTGTACATCTGACCTTCATGCTTAGCTAAGTTTCACGCGAGTGCATGGAACTTGGTCCTTTTTGTCCGTTCGGCATCGCATACGGAAGTAAAAAATTCGCGTCATCCTTGCTTCATGTTGTAGGCAATGACCCGAACTGAGAATTACAGTATCTAAGATGAACCCTTCATTTTTCAGAAATTCTTAACATTTACCATCCCCTGCAATGCTCGGAAATACTCCGAAGTAACAACACAAACTGACTCTGGCCATTCTTTTTTTTTACAACCAGGCCTTTCTCATTATAAAGCACGCCTATGAAACATCTAGGCACAACTATTGCAGAAAATAAAAACAACGATGCCCCACGTTAATTGCAGCTTGAACACCTTGTTTATTTTTATATTTAGCAAACCATCGGCGCAGCATGTGAGAGGTAGTGAAGCTTGTTTTTATTTATAACCGTAAATCATCATTATGGTTCTGAAACAGAAAAAATTACAAAATATCACTCACAATTACTCTGGCAAAGAAATATTACTCATCCACTAATAATAAAATACTTTTTCACGCCATATATGGTGAACGTGAAGAAAAACATCATATATACAATATTCGGTACAGTAATAAAATTCTCGATCACACTGTAGAAATAAGACAGTGGATAAGAATTACGAGTTTTTATATATATATATTATTCCAACATTTCCCATTATCTGTGAGATTCATCCACCGATGTGAACTTTATTTTATATTATTATTCTTTTTGTTCTCTATGATTCGAAGCAATTATGCAATAATTTCTTAAAACTGTGGTGAAATACCAAGTGGAAAGGCGTAACCCTTAGCCTTTCATTCAGGTCACCTAATGGAATAGATACGTTTCAGAGTGTATTTTAATATCGGTAGTTTCGCTAGCACTGTTTACTTCTGGGTATATAGATTTCTACACAAGTCGTGAACACTTTTCAGTAATATCGTCACGTGGGACCACAATAACAGGCAAAAAGGCAAGGTTTTACACAATATAATTGTCATGGAAGATAATCTTCACAAGTAAACTTCGCGCACAGATCATACTTACTATGGTTTTCATAGGATGGCCAGTAGTTGCAAAATCATTTTATTGTTGGCTGGAGGAGAACAGAAAAAAATAGTAGTGTGTAAAGTGGATGTTAATTTGGAAAAAAAGTTAAAAATATTACAACACTTCAGTAATTCTGAGCAATGCTTTGTAGTCAAGTATGTGAGGTCAAGCCTAAATAAAGCAGATATATGACATGGGTGGTAATGTAGACAGAATTCTTCCTTAAAAAACATTCGTAAGCCGTTGTAGCTTCAATAATCTTTAATGTCTACTTCGTGTCCGAAGTATAGCGTGTGTTGGCTGCCAGCAAACCAAGCAAAAAAGACATGGCAGTTCCCCTCTCCTAACAGGTTCTCCCCTCGCCAACTGAACTCCATCACCACGTGGCCTCAGATGGTAAAGACAGCAAATGGACAAGAATGAAATCAGTTCATAGTTGGCATTCACGCCACCCGGTTGACTTTTTACTATGCTTACAAGCTTCTCAAAAAGCGCATAGATTAAGTGTTTTCGTCCAGCTAACGGTTTATAATATTTTTGTTTGGGTTAAAAAATAGTTGTCCACACATCCCTGCGTACTTCAGTTCAACATTGGAGCCAGTTTTTGCGATTTGTTCATACCAACTAACTCACTTAGGCTAATCTCGGGTGTTGGCAATAAATCTCAGGTGTTAGGCAATAAACCTAATCTCGGGTGTTGGCGAGCGAAATGTTTAAGCCCATCCACCAAAAAAATATTAGAGACACATGCTCTGAAGAAGGCAGTCTTACCTGGAGCTTGTGGAGCCAGAGCTTCCACTCAATGCTGCGGCGGAACTAGGAGATGCAGAAGAGCTACGGGCAGTGCCAGAAACACGAGAGATGGGGGGGAATCCGGTGACATGCTGGCCACCAACCTTACCGAGTGAACCTGGGAAACCATGGTAACCACCGAAGAGGGCACCGTAGTATCCTCCGAAACCTCCAAAGCCCAAGCCAGAGCCGTAGCCATAACCGTAGCCAAAGCTGGGGTGTGAATGAAAACCACCATAGTAACAGCCTTCATGACCGAAGCCGTTGCCGAAGGAGTCACCGAAGCCGTAATATCCAGGGTAGAAAGCGGGCCTATTGTAAAATCCCCCATAACCTCCGAAGCCAGCTGGACCATAAAAGCCTCCTACTGGAGCGAAGCCGTGAGAGCCAGGGAAGGCAGGTCTTCCCGCTGGTCCTACGCTAACTCCAAGAGATCCCGAACTACCGGAAGACGAAGAGCTAGAACTTCCAGGAAAAGCGCTTGGAAGTCCTAGTACAGATGAACCGGATGAGGATAACGAGGGGAATCCTGAAGAACCACCAGCTACTCCAACTCCAGGCAATGCTCCAGAGACTACGCCAGGTCCGGCCACACCACTGACACCTGCTCCAACACTCTCACTGCTAGTAAGATCCACCTTAACAGAGGAAAGGGGGCCAGCATAGGCCAGTGAGGCTGAAATAGATATAAAATGAATATAAACAAACAATCACTTCTGCCATTTGTGGACTTGAACGTTCAATCTCAAGGTTCGTACAGCCGTATTCAGGAAACGTGCGCGGCGACGGTTGCAGTGATACTGAAATTGTATGTGCGCTCACAAACGTAGGTACGCACGCGTAAGCATGTGTGTAACGAAGTGTAGGGCTCTCTTGTATACGCAGATGTGAAATATATATTAAGAGCGAGCTCAGTTGGCCGGTATCCATGTGAACAAGAGTGGGCGTGCAAACATAGAAAAGAGAGAAGATACCCCAAACGGTGTTTGAGGAATCTCGACTTCACTTACAGTTTGTGCTAGTATTTGCATGCCCAGCTTTTTAAACATTTAGGATAAGTATGAACAAGTGTGTGTGAAAATATATGTCACAATATATGCTTTAAACGTGCTTCTCGCGAACTTCGTGCTGTGTATGGCACTATTAGGTGAAGTGAGGTCGGCGATTATCTGTCTGCTCATAGCATTACGTAGAGATACTCTGCTGACCATGCTTCTTGGTGGGGCGGATTTTTGGAGTTTATGGTGAGGTCAGTGAAACACAACTTGAGAAAAGCTCCAGGAAGGTATTTTTTAGATTACGGTCAAATGAGCACGGTCCTAGCAGAAATTGAAATCGATCATAAATAGTAGACCGCTAACATACTCGTATCCTGCACCAGAGTAACCAGAAGTCTTTTAACACCTGACCATTTCTTATATGCAAGCGATTGATGGCCCTTCCCAACTTGCAAGCTTCAGCCGTGGTGCCCAGATCACATACGGAGCTGCCTAAAACTTGGATACAGCGTCAAAAGCTACAAAAAGACTACTGAAATCGCTGGTATAAGGAATATTTATTACTCCTTAGAAGTACTCACAATAGGCCAATAGACTAGTATTGCGGAAGGCAATACAGTGATAGTGCGCGATGATGCTCTTCCCAAGTTGTGTTGGAAACTCGCACGGGCTCTGAAGAACATTACCGGAAACGACGGCACTGTTCGTGCATGTCGCCTAAAGCTATAGCAGACGGCAAAGTTGTAACGCAGCCTTGTTTTTTATTAGATATGCGCCCACAGCCATTTGTGGGCCGGGATTGTTAAAAACAATGGACATTACGTGCCCTAGAGAAAGAGATGAATGACGACAGCGCGTGGCACGTGGAGATCTTGGATCTGCACCACAATAAACGGCAGCGTCGAACGCTCTGCTCTTCGTCTCCAGGCGTATTAGTCCTTTGAACCTGATTTTCCACAAAAGAAGCCTTCAACTTTTACATACGCTTCTTTACGACGAATGCAAAAGGTGACCCTTTTTCATACAGCTCAATGAACTCTTGGTAAGGATAAGTGAACTCCTTGGTTTCGTGTCTTGATTAAACTAAGATTCCATGTATTATATAAGCACTTGTTGGTTTTTGTCTGTTTTCTAGTAATATATGTATAGTTGTGGGTGCGTGTAGGCGCATAACGACAGGCTTGGACATTTCCAAAAATCATGTATGCTGAGGAAAAAAATTGATATCCTTAGTTCATCATTCAAGGAGCATCAAGCACTAAACAGATCATCTGCCTGTGCATAAAAGCGTTATCTCTGTATTAGCACAGTGAAGGTCAACATAGACTTCACGTTTGATACTCTATGTAAAACTGTCATTCAGCCCTACTAAGCATTTACTCCCGGGTCCAGCAAGTAGGCATTACGTTATATATTTTGAACGCGAACAACGAGAAGAAATTTTTAGTACAGGCTAAACGCATCATTCTCAAAAAAGTCAGTAAAGCGCCTAAAATATTGTGACATTAGGTGCAAATCACAATACTGTGCTTTCTGAAACTGACAATCCTTCAACATCGCCAGAGGACTTGTCTCTTAACGACAGTGAAGTGTTTCTGAATTTGAGAAAAAAAGATTTGTAAATAATTCTTTGACAACTTCTACAAAGAACACCACCGAAACATTAGTAATCAAAAGAAAGTTTAGGCTGCTTAATCACATTATGGTTTTGCGACAATGAAACTTAGACTAGATTTTTTTGGAACATCACAACGGTAAAAGGAAACACTAAAGAGTTCACTTTCTTCTTACTTCTAGCCATATAATTTAAGCATAAGATTAGCAAGTAAAAATTGCACGTATGGCGCCTCAATTCTCACGTTACCGAAACAGGAAGTTCTGGCTTGAACACTGAGTCTCAGAACCTCACCTGCAGATAGAAGAGCAACGGCTACGAAGACCCTCATTATTGCTGTGCTGTGCCTGGTGGGTGCCACTCCAAGACCTGCACAAGTGCAATATCGGGGCTGCCATACTCCTTATTATATACTACACCAGCTACAATTGCAAAACAAGGAAACAATATCAAGTTGATGCCGCTGTTTTTCATTCCTAGTTTTTGCAGTTCTCCAGCAACAAACAATCTTTTCAAACTAAAATTGAAGAATGCGAAATTACTTATTGTTCGAACTAGAACGATGACATTCATCTTGGTGAGTGAGAGATATGCGCTTTTCTAATATAATAACAACAGCTTTAGGCCATTTCACAACTGTGTCCTATCTCGCCCATCTCGACGTAATATTCCACGCACACAAGTACAATGTACACCGATATAGTGTTTTCGTAGCCAAACAATGCGCTATACTGGCGTTATTTGTTATATGTACCGCGTCAACGATGCCGAAGCAAGCACGAATTGTCTCATAAAAATGAACGCCGGAACATTTCGTCCTACATTGAATTCGATACGGCGCACATTATAACATGTTTTTGGGGCATGTTATTGCATGTATTAGCAAGTCACACCATACAGTTAGGCGAATTAGCCATTTACTTCACCACTGTTTACTATGTCTACTACCTCAATACATGTGCAGTCGTGAGCACAAGAGTAGATGAAATGGAGAACTGGAGCCGAGTAGCGAGTTGAGAGTCTTTGACGAGTTCTAGCGAGCTGAAACAGCCCGTGGATCCCTGGACGAGGAGATTTGTCCACAGTAACCAAGAGTTCTTACTTTATCAAAGTTGTTTCTCTCTCTGAATCAAGGCTCTCAAACGCGTTGCCCGTGCGCTGAATGTGGCCTGCCCCCCTCTCGCTATCGGACCACATGAACTGCATTATGACACTAACACCCACAAAGAGCGCTGCAGTAGCCTCAGCACCAATATTCCTAGCACTACGGCATATCGATTCCAGCGTTTCAACGGACGCTGGCACGAGAGCTAAAGCACCATTACTCAGAGCATTTTACCAACGCCGTCTAGCTGGCATTGGCCCTGCTTGAAACAAAGTGTAGCATGGCCTCCGCAATCTTCTGCAGCTCAAACCTTATTTTAGCACACACTGACACGTGTAGTTCGGTCCGGATCTCGTGAGCTATTCATTCGTGATGTTCTGTGTCTGTCTGTCTGACACGGACAAAGAGAGGGAACGACACCAGCACTGTTGTCTTTCTCTTTCTTTGCCCGTGCGTCAGTGTGCGCTAATAATATGTCAGTATGCTTTCATAGCAACTTGCTCGTCTTGCAGCATTACTCCACTTCTAGGGTTAATTACGGATACGACCAACAGACGCTGTAATTCGCAACTTTCACAGATGGTGGCGTCGCCATGCAGCATTTGTCGTAACTGTCGTTTGGGGGATGCCCATGCAGCCTGCGCATGCCATCGTTCACTCGGCCTCAATTTGGTGGCTCGCTGATGCTTTATATTTTGTTGCTGGCAATTTGTACTACGGTTATTGTGAAGTCAGACACTTACTGCGAGTCGTAGTAGCAATGATTTAGTCTTTTTTGTTTTCTTGCTGAGCTGGAAAAGTCACAAAATATGTTATATGCCACTGTGCAGACACCCTGCAGTCAAAGGTGAGGTTTCCTGCTTTGCATGAGCACGGCCGCTTGGTCTTCCCTGGCCGTGGCACGAGCAGCGTTCACAAAGCTGTACACCACAGCCCGGCGTTCGGAACTTCTTTTTCATCGATATACACCGCACACGCGTTTCTCAACACGCAGTGTGAGATATAATACATACTAGAGTCAATGATCTTTCAGCAAAGCCTTGAAAACATGGTGGCTGCAGCCAAAAGTACAATACAGGTTGAAGTGACGGGCACACCTGTGGCGGCTGCTGGCGCTGGCTGCGCGATTCCCCAAACGACAGCCATGTTATGCTTGCACCATTTCTCTCTATAGGCGCTCAAAGTTGCGAATTGAGACGCTGTCTGTGCGCTGATTTGGCTCGGTGACGACGCGATTTCGCGCTTTGTCTTTCGCGTTGCCAAATACGTGCTTCGTCTTCGGTGTTGTGCTGGCGTCTGCTGCAGCGTAGTGCAGCTTTCATATGCACCAATGGTGTATCTCCACTGCCTTCTGACAAGCTTGTTATGGCACCAACTACGATAACTGCTGCATCAAGCACCGGTGAAAGAAAGACAACAACGTCGATGGGCGAACGTAACGCAAGTGAGTTTGGTGCAGTGGTGAACACATCAAGGGGGAAAGGGATGTCTTCACACGTTCACGACTACAACTGAGTGCTGTGCTTCACGCGTTTGTGAAGCTGAGCGCATCGCGACCCACCTGGCTGCCATACAGACACCGATGTAGGACGAAAGTGACCGTATCTTCACCGAAGCGCTCTACAGCACCAGGACACTGCTCGACAACATGACACCGCATGCCAAGAACATCCACAGGACGGTCATCAACTTGAAAATCACGCACCCTTCGCTGCAGCTGACCATGAGCTAAAAGACGATTGAGTCGAAACCCGTTCGGATTCGCTTGCATGGTTTGCGAACGGCTGGGGTTCACGTGCGATTTGTGCGGTGCTCCGGTGCGCGCCATGCACTGCCTCCGAAAAGTCTATCCCGGTCACGAGGTGGTGGTTGTACGAATGGAGAAGATGTGCCACCAAATGTCAATGTTCATCAACATCCAAGAGTGCTGTAGCCCCTGAACACCGATAGATATTATATATTAATGTGTTATAAACATTGAACTACTCTTGTGAGGACAAGTTGCCCTTTCTTGTGCTAAACTCATTGTTATATCAGAGAAATCAACCAAACTTTTTCCCATGTTATGCCTTCTCGCTCAGCAGATCTTTCATGAAATGCTGCCTAACGATATGCGACTTTTTTAGGGGCGAAACTCCTTATAGCGGCACTCGTTCGTCCCCCGTAGTATGTAACAAGTATAACATTTTGATCTCCAAGGTGGTGCCGGTGAGAGACTTCTTCTGTGCGTTGTTGAACAATAAAAAATAGTGGTCAATGTGCATGTCAATGGCTGCTAATGGGGAATGAGAGACTGCAGCATTCGGCTTTTAGTTAACGCGCAGGCTGCAATCACCATTAGCAGCCATTGGCATGTACATTGAGCACTATCTGACAAGAAAGTTTTGCTACGTTATACTCGCTGGGTGTAACCTCCTTAGCTTTAGAAAGGTTCAGTGAGCGTTGAGCCGCAGTGCCATGAATACAATGAACTTGTATATACCATGAATGAACTCGAGGTGGTTAAAAATGGGAAGTAGATACGAAGTACAAGCCGTAAGAAAGTAAAAGCCGCATTCTCCGCCTCTCATTTCCCATTAGCAGCCATTGGCATGTACATTGAGCACTATCTCACTGAAAAAGTTTGCTACGTCATACTCGCTGGGCGTAACCTCCTTGGTTTTCGAAAGGTTTAGCGAGCGTTCGGCCGCAGTGCCATGAATACAGTGAACTAGTATATACCATGAACTCGAGGTGGTTAAAGGTGGGAAGTGGACCCGAAGCGCAAGCCGTAAGAAAGTGTGCGTGTGCCACCTCTCGTTTAGTCCTTGGAATGTCCGCTGGATGGCGGTGCTTCTATATGGGGAATATATGATGAAAAGATGTGAGATGGTGGTACTTGGAGTGTTGAATAGATGGACGAACGGACACATAGACAGATGCATGGATGGATGCATGAACGGACGCAGGGGCGGCTGCATGGATGAACGCAAGGACGGACGCACGAACAGACGCACGCACGGACGGGTGATGGACGCATGGACGGTCACACTGACGGACGCATGGACGGACGGAAGCAAAGCAAGAACGAATGGACGGACGAATTCTTCGCCCTACTCTCCATCATTCACTTCGTTGATATGCTGCCATTTTTTTGCTACTTCTTCGTGACAAGCTGAAAGGTTTCGCTTTTCAATCATTGGACAGTTCAGAAGTGTGAGTGAGCCGGCAGACTGTTCTACGTGTTGCAAACAACTCCTGTGTATAGCAAATACCAAGGATTTCATTAAGGAGGGGGGGGGGGAGGCAAGAACTGAAAGGCAGGGAGGTCAACCAGACGCACGTACAGTTTGCTACCCTGCACTGAGATAAGGGGTGAGGGGTTTAAAAGAGAAGAAAGTATAGTGAAAGGTAACGTGTGGATACATGTGACCTTGTGAATTGCACGCTTATAAGCGGCCGCGTAGTCCTGTCGTCTTTAGAAAACCTATCCATGCCCGCGTTGCTTTGCTGGCCCGCGTAGGGCCATGAACAGAGGATCTTCTATTCGTAAAAAGGTCTACTATCTAATGTCTCCAATGTTTCGCGTAGCAAGTTGCGTTCGCTCGCAAAACGATCACACGAACACAGTAGATGTTTCATTGTCTCGTCAGCCGAGACCGATCCTGTCAGCTGTCAGGCGAGACCGATCCATCGGTGTAAATGTGGGTCTTTTGGCTGTATTTTTCGTTGAGGAGCGACAATGCCGCCTCTCGCAGGACCACTGTTCAATGACGGCTCTTGTTCGTGATTCCCCGAATAGTGAGGCACACCTGTGGTTGTTGTAGGCACCACAGAGCTGACGGTGGTCTTGTTGCTGGAGTGAAGCCCAATGAAAGGCATTCTCTATAAGCAGAAATAATCTTTGAAAACATCGCTTGTGGTCTCTGAAGTGGTAACACAGCAACATGGTGGCCGGGAACTCGGCAGAGGTGTCTTATGTGGGCTCTTAAAGTGTCAGTGGTGGTGTATGTTTGAATCGGATGCTCTCTTACGATCCTAATGGTCCCGTAGGTTGAGGTGCAGTGTGGCAATCCTAAGCACATGCGTAGTGTTTGTCCTTGCAGACTCTTCGATGAAATTACTCAATCTCGGTCGATATTGTGGTCACCTATTCTCGTTTAGTTCCAGCTGGGTTCTACGAACGCAAAATTTATTTTGCTGATGTCCAAATAGTGATATATATAAACATCTGTCTGTTTAATAGGTAATTAAAATATTTTATTAACCTTACCTTCGTAGATTGAACAAAAATAAACCACACGTGAGCGCCTCGAAAAACGCGGTGACGAGATATGTCAATGAGAATGCTGCCGCTGATGATGATGATGATGACGATCAATTGGTAACATACTCTGTTGCGTGTGCTGGTTTTTTTTTATGTTTCTGCACCCACCAAAGTGAGTAGTTTTTCGCAAAGCATTTACGGACAGTGGCCTTTGCCAACTATATAGTATTTCACGGATAAAGACAACAGGCTACATAATGGTAACTTCAAATATAATTTTTATTGTTGTGTTTTGAGAGTTTCATAGCCGGCAAATAATTCTTCATTTTTTATGTTGTATCTCCTATTCAAATTACTTGGAAGCGTGACACCGATGGCCTGAAGCAAAAACAAATAGACAAGGCATTAATTTTACTATCCGATAAACTACTACAATCATTACGAAAATTTGCATTGCATTCGTTCACTGGTCATGTATTTAAAAACCTAAATAGTAAATTACTTTTGTCATCCCTATTATAGATCATGGAAAGTGAAAACACAATGAATGAGATTGCGGTTTTCATGAAGTATCGTTGTAAAAGACTTACACATTGCGAACTTTTAGGCTTTGCAATACATGTTAAACAATACCATCGTTGTCACGCCCACGTTCTAGCTTGCACTGCATGTCACGCACCATTCAGCGTAGACGTGGTTGGTAACAGACAAGCCGACATGGCACCTGAACACACTTAAGTTTGCACACATCACAAAAAGCTCGTTTTTTTAGGTTATTGCACCAATACAAAACTCATACAAAAACAATAAAACGAAATCTCAATAATAGCATTGCGTTTTCACTTATTATTTACTCCATCGACCTAGGAACCCTCAGAACAGCTTTTCAATGGTGGACTAACTTCAGACTGATAGTGCTCTGCAACACATTTGATTATTTTATACAATTACCAGAGTTGAAATACAAGTCCCGCCAAATACAGAAACTAGAAGTGTCATTACTTGAGAATCAATTCCTTAAACATAAATTTGAATTATTAAAAAAAACTAGTTTTGACATACATGCTTCTTATTCCCACATTCTGCTAAAACACGCTTACCTTGCTTTTGAAAGGATGGCTAGGTTTATTTAGGTTCTCCGTTTAGGACCTGGAGGCACCAGATGAAGAACTGGAAAAATTATATATTATAATATTATAAACGCTGACAAAATATGTAATAGATGTGCAAGTTATTCAGAGTATACTGCTAGCGAATAACAAACTCTGGTCATAAAATTAATCACCACACAACTCACTTTTGTAGGAGGAACGAGCAAACATATTTGAATTAAAGCGAGAGCGTTATTCTGATTCTCTGATCGCATAGTGTCTTATCTTTATAAACAAAATATTAGAGCCACAAGATTAAAAAAAATTTCTTACCTGGAGCTACTTCTTCCAGAACGTACCACTGATTGGGAAGCTCCAATACTTCTTAAACCACTGCCTGAACCACCAGCGCCGAATCCAAAGCCTTGAAAGCCACCAACTTGGCCAGGGAAACCAAAAGAGGGACCGTGAACACCGAAGTTGCCTGCGCTGCCACCCAAGCCAGAGCCAAAACTGTAACTGAAACCAGAACTTAAACCAGAGCCAACGCCTAAGCCAGACCCAGAGCTGGAGCTGGAGGTGGAGCCAGAGCCAGAGCTATAGCCAGAACCAGAGCCAAAGCCGTAACTGGAACCCAAACTGGAACCGGGGCCATAAACGTGTCCGGAGGCCGGGCCATAGAAAGGTGCGTAGGAGGGGCCAAAGGCAGGTCCATAGCTGAAACCATAACCAGGGCCATAGCTGCTGATTGGAGAGAAACTACCACCGTAAAGACCCGCACCGCCTAGGCCCTTGCCGAAAAAGCCATTGAAGCTGCCGTAACTGGGGCCGATACCGGACCCTCCAAGGCTTGACGGAACATGGAAACCTGTGCTCGGACCAACGCCAAAGCCTGCTGAGCCAGGTCCTCCCACATGCCCAACGCCAGATCCGAAAGATCCAGGTAGACCTGAAACGCTAGAGCCTCCTAGACTTCCAGAAACTGCGCCAAAAGAGGCAGGCGAACCTGCAAGAGACCCCGATCCCAGTGAACCAAGCGAGGGTGCCGCGAATACGCCTGCAGGGCCACTACCAAAGCCAAGACCGGGAAGTGCTCCGGGGGCACTGCTAGATCCCACTACACCGCTCAAACTACTTCCAAGACTGCCACCTGCACGAGTGAGACTTCCAAATTCAGTCTTGGAAGAAGCGGCACGAGGACCGGCATAGGCCAAGGAGGCTGAAATCAGAGAATGAGAACCAGTGAATAATCACGTCCACAAGAGCTGTGAAAGCACGTGCGCATGAGTGCATTAATGACTTCGCGTGGCTTGCAACAATCCTCATTTTACTTTGCAATTTACCGTGACACCATAGAGAAAGAGAGCATGACAGGAGAAAAAGAGGAACTAAGAAAGAGTAAAATAAAGAAAAACAAAGAAGGCCACCCAGCTTTTCTCTTTCTTCAGGCGACACAAATGCGAAGCTACCTTTCTTTATCTTTTTTTTTCATTTCGTTATTTGGTGAAGCTTAACTATAGGTCCAGCTTGAAGGAGTGAAAAAAAAATTGCCCGCAGCTTCCCTCGGGGGAACACTGAGGAGGATGCGGACCATATAATTGGTTAACGGGGTGTTAAAGTGCGACTTACTTGGGTCGATGGCTAAATTGGTTAACGTGGTTGTAGGAGGGGGTGTTAAATGAGTGAACACGTACACACGTATGCGAAAGGGCGGCGCTGGTCGAAGGGACGTCGATCATTGTGTTTGTGGATTCGTTAGAATTCATTTCACCGCGACCTTGGACGTCGACGCGCCGTACAAACCAACCGACGAGCGGCATCTGAGCGAGCGAGCGCCGACCTTGAGTATATATACAGCACGACGGCGCATGCACTGTCAGCTGTTGAATGTTCTCGAAGCGCGACGCCACATGCGCGTCCACTGGAGAATCAGGAGAATTGTAGATGTCGAACGCGGTGTGTAGAGGAGGAAGGGTGCACAGATGGTGGAGGAGTGAAGCGCGCGCGGTGTGTAGAGGAGGAAGGGATGCACAGATGGTGGAAGAGTGGGCGACGGCGCGACGGCGCATGCGCGCGCGTCAGCTGTCGAATGTTCGAGAAGCGGTGCGGATGGCGCGGACGGCGCACTACAAGGCGCGAGTATAAGATGCTCCGCATCTAAAAAATTGTGAGGACAGGAAAGAAATAAGAACGAACTCGTGTTCTTTCGCTCGTGCTGTATTGCACTCTTCAGTATTTTTTTTTTTGCACAGCCTCAAGCAAGACGCAAGATTAAACTCACCAAACCAACAAGTTCTCGTTAACCTTGAGCCACCCGTTTTGCGCCACTGAGTGCTACTCAATATTGAGAAAACCCTTAGAATACCCAAGCTTCATAACGACGCGAGGGCTATAGAAGCCTTAAGGTTGATTTAATTAGTGATTAGAAGCAATAGCAAAGGAGAAAAATTACACAGCCTTTACCAATTCTTTGTGCTTTTATTAGTTATGCCATTATTTATTCCTGTAGTGATGTTCCCACCACACACCATGAAGTTAATATGCCTAATTTTAGGCAATACATGCTCTTTTTTTTAATCGTGGTATTTTAAAAACTTCTAGTTTTGTTGTTGTGCTTGAACTGTCTTTCTTTCATAGTTTAAGCACACTCTAAAAATAATCCAAAGAAACCTCCACTTAGAAAAACCTAACGCAAGTTTAAGGCAACAATAAAGGCCGTATTTTAGTAGAGGCTGTATTCAAAACGCTCTTAATATCTCGAATTCGTTATTGCCCAGTGCGTATAATGTTCCGTTTGACACACTCACTTCCCCCGAGTATATTCGACAAGAAGAATGTGTTGAGTAAGTTACAAGGTGCTTTATACGTCGTAAGATGATCAATTTGTCAATGGTCCAACCTCCGCATACTAAGAGTTGTGATGTCCTTAGAAGGAACGAATCTCAAATCATGCTTTTTTTTTCAGGTTTTTCCTTGGATACAAATGTTATTACTGTAAAAAACACGCAGAACTTAGAAACGTGCTGCAAATGTTATTATGAAATTAACATGCAATGACAACGAAAATAATCGTAAGCCATGAGCATTTCAGAACGGGACTTCTACACGATGCAAGTTGCTCGTGTGCTTTACGACAACCACTCCGAATGTGGCTACCGCTTCTGAACATCTTATATAGAGTATCTCAAAGTTTTTAACGTTTAAAATGACTAAGTCAGTAGACCCTCACCAGCGGATAGAAGAGCAATGGCTACGAAGGCCCTCATGATGGCTGTTGCTCGAAGATCTGCGAAAGTGTGGTTTCCGAACTGCCTCGCCGGCTGTTATATACTACTCTGCTCAGGATCACGTGTTGTAAGGAAAGTATGAAAGTAACAGAACACTTCTTTTTTTGTTAACTTCTAGCCTTTCTTGCGAGCTTTCTTTTCACGACCTATATGCAAATGACGCCAAATAGCATTATATCTGAAATAAAATGCCGCTATCTCTTTACGCGATGAATGAGGTGCTGTCTTCGTAGAAAAGGCCAGCGTTTTATTCTTTTTTTTTATTACTGTTACACGAAGCAGCCTAATTTTGAACGTAATGCGATGTCATTTTATATTCACTATAACGAAATACACGTTGTGAACGTTTAGGTAACAATGTAGAATTGTGTAACCCTTTTTTTACTGACCAATCGCTGTTCACACCAAAGCACGCACCCATTGCCTATGGGACAATGGCTGCTTGCAGAATGCGAGCAGTAAAGAGTTCGAAACACCGCATAATTTAGCGTCTAAGTCATGCAAACCACTTACAGTGCAGTCGGCCAAATCTTTAGTTATCGTACATGAATAGCAGTTTATTCTATGTATCTTTGCCATACGACAGAATTAGGTAAAACTGACAGCTGAGAGAGTTGGTATGCATCCATATTATAATTTTCCTTAGCTCGCACAAAACACACAAAAAAAAGAAAGACGAAAGAATAGGTCCAAAACGGGACAAAGAAAGTGTACCTGTCACCTAACAGAAGATTCAAAGTTCATGAATTTGCAGGTCGCGCGATCGACTCCCGGATGCGGCGGCTGCATTTCCGATGGAGGCGGAAATGTTGTAGGCCGGTGTGCTCAGATTTGTGTGCACGTTAAAGAACCCCAGGTGGTCGAAATTTCTGGAGCCCTCCACTACGGCGTCTCTCATAATCATATGATGATTTTGGGACGTTGAATCCCACATATTAATTAATCAATCAAAGTTCATGAGATGCTGAGAAGGGTTGGTATATTGGGTACCACTAACCTGCGGAAATATGCTCATAAGACAGACTGATCACTGCATCAATACACGTCTAATAGAGCGTGCGAATTCACTAGGAAACATTTTCACACTTGTCTGACCATTGTAAATCTTGCCATTGTGGGTTCGTGTTTCATGAAACAGATATTTTGTTTACACACGAAGATAAACTAACACGTGCACTTACGGAAGCCTTTCATATCAATTGGTGTAAAAATAAATGCATAAGTAAACCTTTCGTAGCTGTAAGAAAGAGCGAGTATAGTTTTCTTTTTAATTCTATTTAGCCTTATCTGTTTATGCTCGCGTGTCACATGAATGACTTGTGCATGTGCTATGCTGGTTCCCATGTACTCATGTGTTTTGTTTTGTTTTTCTTCAAAATAAGTTAGTTGGGAGTATATCGTTCGTCTGTCTCTTTCTTGATTTGTGTTTCGTGTGCGCTAAACAAAGATATAATAGTGATGAGATAAGTTTCAAAAAAGTGAGCACAAATGAATGCCCACAAAGCAAATGTACACGAAGCAGTTTTTTGTAACTTCGTTCCTTATTATGGCGCTTAGAGACAAAAAAGTGGCCACAGCGCACAATAGTTGAAAGTTTTGACTGACTGTATAGCCAATCTTTGGCTGTTAACGATTCGAAATACCTGCGACCATGTGGGTTCATCTAAGTACCAAAGTTCGGCTTGCTGGTGTGTTTATTGAATGCGACTGGTTTTTCAAGTTTGCAGTGGATCGTATGAGGGACCTATTTAAACATTAACACAACTATACAATGTGTTCACTTCCAGAGTTGTTTTGTTTCAAGCATTTAAATTTATTTTAAGCCATTTTATGAGCACCACTCTCACCGGCTGGCTCCAGGGTTCGGAAAGACATTGATTTTCGATTGATATGTGGGGTTCAACGTCGCGAAACTACCTTGTGATTATGAGAAACGCCGTAGTGGAGGGCTCCGGAAATTCGATCACCAGGGGTTATTTAACAAGTAATATCAATGTGCCCAGACCAGGGTGGGCAGCTAGGCAAATCAGAGAGGGGGGAAGGTCCATACAAACACAAACAACACGACGAATTGAAAATGTTGATGTGTAAAATTGGAATGTAAATCATTATTACTTTCAGCGCGCATGTCCTAGGGCTGCAGTTCAAAAAAATTGACAGCATATCACCGTAGTGAATGCTGGAGAGTGGGGCGAAACATTCGTCCGTTTATTCGTTCTTGCTTCCGTCCATCCATGCGTCCGTCTGTGTGACCGCCCATGCGTCCATCCGTCTACTTCCCACTTTTAACCACCTCGAGTTCATGGTATATACTAGTTGACTGTATTCATGGCTTTGCGGCCCAACGCTCACCAAAGCTTTCTAAAACCAAAGAGGTTATGCCCAGCGAGTATAACGTAGCGACCTTTTTCTGTCAGATAGTGCTCAATGTACATGCCATTGGCTGTTAATGGGAAATGAGAGACAGGAGAATTCGGCTTTTACTTTCTTTCGGCTTGCGCTTCGTATCTACTTACCACTTTTAACCACCTCGAGTTCATTCGTGGTATATACAAGTTCATTGTATTCATGGCACTGCGGCTCAGCGCTCGCTAAACCTCTCTCAAACTAAGGAGGTTACACCAAGCGAGTATAACGTAGCAACCCTTTCTTGTTAGATAGTGCTCAAGCTACATGCCAATGATTGTTAATGTGGATCGCAGCCTGCGCATTAACTAAAAGCCGAATGCTCCTGTCTCTCATTCCCCCTTATAGCAGCCATTGGCATGTACATTGAGCACTACCTTTTATTGTTCAACAACGCACAGAAGAAATCTCTCACCGGCACCACCTTGGAGGTCAAAATGTTATACTTGTCACACACTACAACGGGTATGAGGGACGAACGGGTGCCGTTATAAGGAGCTTCGCCGCTCAAACGCGCGCTCCAAGC